ACCGAAGTCTTAGCAGTGGTTGTCTATGAATGGCACTATGGGTTGCATATTATTTTTCAAAATTCAGAGTGTTCTGAATTTCTTTAAATAGAGAAGATATATTGCTTTTATAATAAAAATTGTTTAAGTTATCTTTTATCTAAAGTTAATTTAAAGTCAAAGTGCTTTTCCTCTGACTCAGCATCTAATGCATTTGGGGAAGGCTGAGCATGAAGCCAGGGTAGGGGGAAAGAGCCAGTCTGGAGGGAAACTCCCAGCTGGGACGGACCAGAAAGGGCCAGAGCCCAGAGAGATGCCCAGAGAGCTGCTCGCTGGAAATGAAGTCAGAGGAAGGACTGTGCCAACTTACCAGTAAGGGTGATTGAGATGACACCCACATACGAAGCAGTACAGTTATTTGATTTGCTTGGGAGAAGGAGGGTGAGACTTTGTAGGAGACATACTTACAATCCAACCAAATGGTTTAGAAAAAATGTGATAGAATTCAATGTGTCAGATATATCCTTAGAGAGTAAGGTTTGGCACATGAGTGCTGTGACCATTTGGCTTCTGTTCAAAAGGATGACATCTTTGTTAATGTCGAGATCCAGGAATCTACACAGCAAGTGCAGCCTACATTCTTGGCCACTCCTGTTGATGTGAGACATCAGTGAGGGCTTCCCCATCTGAACGCTGCTTGGTCCCGGGAATGTTTAGGGGCTCTGAGAAGCCAGAAGTCCCGACCAAGTAACAGTGAACACTAGGTTTCACTTAAATAGTTTCAAAACATTTACCAGGTCACTTTGGTTGTTTGCTTGTTTTTATCCCACAGTATGCTTGACTACCTTGGTGTTAAAGCTAGTTAGATTTCATGTTATGAAAGGATGCTTTGGACTATCCAGGTCGTAACCATTAAATTCATCATATTAACCAATGATTAACCATTGTCACAGGTGACTGAGAATATTGGAAAGAAAATTATTAACTACAAGTTACAACAGGTTGTGTGCAATTTAAAATTTTTTTCCAAATAGATTTTAGATTAACATTAAACACTTCAGAGTTATAATCCCTATTCTGCAGCTGATGCCTTTGAGTATGAAAAAAGAATTAACTATCTTCACTGAAATGTGGATTTTTAAAATATATTTTTAATTAATCAACTTTATTTTTTACAGCTACTTTAGGTTCACAATAAAATTAAACAGAAAGTAGAGATTTCCATATACCTCCTGCTCCCGCACATACACAACCTCCTCACTGTCAACATCACCAGAGTGGTACAACTGATGAACCAACATCGACACATCATTATCACCCACAGTCCATAGTTTATATTAGAGTTCACTCTTGGTGTTGCACACTCTATGGGTTTGGACAAATGCAAAATGTGTATCCCCCATTACAATATCATACAGAGTAGTTTCGCTGTGCTAAAAATCTGCCCCTTGGCAACCGCTGATCTTTTTACTGTTGCCATAGTTTTGCCTTTTCCAGAATGCCAAATAGTTGGAATTATACAATGAGTAGCCTTTACAGATTGGCTGCTTTCACTTCGTAATATACATTGAAGTTTCTCCACATCTCTTCATGGCTTGACAGCTCATTTCTTTTCTGTGCTGAATAATAATCCGTTGTCTGGATATACTATAGTTCATCCATTCACCTACTGAAGGACATCTTGGTTGCTTCCAAGTTTGGGCAATTAGGAATAAAACAGTTGTAAACATCTGCACGGAGGTTTTTGCAAGGACCTGAGTTTTCAACTCATTTGGATAAATACCAAGGAGCATGTTTACTGGATCGTATGATAATAAAACATATATTTTTCATAAAAAGTATTTAACCAAAAATTAGAATTGAAATGTTTTCAAAATGTATTTGAATTATTTCAGACAAAA